AGTGAATGGATATTTCAGGGTTAAGTGGGTCCACATAGTCCAGATCAGTGAAACAAAGAATCAGATTGCAAATGTAGGCTCAGACTAACAAAGAAAAGTGCAAAGACTTTCATGCCTTCACCAGGGTTAAGTCTTATCCTATTAATTACCTCTTCAAGTATTTCTTCTGCCATCTTGCCTCTTTTCTTATTTGGATTCCAATTACATGACTGTTAGTTTGATATGGTCCCACAGGTCTTGCATGGCCTGCTCTGGGTTAATTTGTTTCTTTTTTTCATTTTTCTCTTTGTGCTTCAGTTTAGACAATTTTGATTGACTTATCTTTAAGTTCCCTATTTTCTCAGCTGAGTAAAGTCTCCTAATGAGCCCATCAAAGTGATTAGTCTTTCATCATATTTTTCATTTCCATCATTTCTATTTGGCCCCTTCTTAGTTTCCATCTCTCTGCTGATAGCCTTCCTATGGTCATACAGTTGTCCATCTTTGCCACTAGAGACTTTAACATAATAGTTATAATTATTTCAGTTCTCTTTCTGATAACTCTAACCTCCAAGTCATATCTGAGTCTGATTCTGTTGATTGCTTTGTCTCTTGACTGTGTGCTGTTTTCTTTGCTTCTTTGTGGGTCTCATAATTTGCAGTGTTTACTAACACTGAGGTAAACAGTTTCACGTCTGGATATGTGAATAACTCTTCTTTTTATAGGCCTCTACTGTGAGGAATTGAGTCAACCTAGTGAGGAGTTGATCCGGGTTTGCATTTATTGTTGCTACAGGTACCCTCAGGACACCTCAGGCTAGAAATGCCTCTGGCGTTACCTCATACTTTTGGCTGGGTTTGGGTTTCCAGAGAGCATTTCTCAATGTTCTGTTCTACTTCAGCCTTAGGCTTTGCCTATGTCCCTAAACCTCAAAGATACTTTCTCCCCTCATTTTTGCCTCCAGCTAGTAGTAGACTATTGCTATTTGTTACTCAGTTCTTGCTATCCTTGGGGTGGGAAGTGGGGAGACATTTTCTGTTGTCCATATTCAGGCCCAGTCCTAGGCAGGCATTGTGTACCTTAGTCTCAGGTGTGGGACCATCTCAGTGATCCTATCTCTGCCCCAGTGGCAGAGGCTCTTTTCCTGCCTCTCCCTCAGAAACAGAGGGTTGTTTTTTTTCTCTTCCCTTCTTCTAGCTACAATGTGTCTTCACCTCGACCCTGAGGATGAGAGTATTTGCTGCCCTTTCCTCAGAAACTTAGGGCTTTTGCTCTGTGAAGAAGGTAGGGGTAAAGCATCCTGGCAGAGCTTTGTGCCCTGCCTGCAGAGGTGGCCGCTCTTGTCCCCTGCACCAAAGGGGAGGCTCGTTCCAGTCACTGCCTTGCCCCCAGCTTTCTCCTGGTGAGGTCCATGGAGAAAAGCCTGCCAGCTAGTGTCAATTCTCCTTATGTCTGTAGCTCCCAGGGGCACTATATTTTTATGCTAAGCCACACTCAGCCCTTAGGGATTCATTTTAAAACTTACCTGAACTCTTCCAATCAGCTTCTATGATGTCCAGCACCTCTTCC